TCCATGCTGAAATTGTATTGGGGGCGTCAGCCTCCTGGCAGCTTTCTTCCCAGTGCCTGTCTCGTCTTAGTTTCTGCATTCCAAGCCTGTTCCATCCGGGCTTTATGTTAGGAATGAGGTAGGGATCCAACTTTCTCTTCTCCCAGATGGTTACCTAGTTGTTGCCACACCATTTCCTGAGTAATTCGTCTTTTCCACACAGATCTGAAATGTCATTTCTGTCATATACTAAATTTCCACATGTATATGAGTGCTTTTCTGGGCCCTGTTCCGTACCAGAGAATTTGTCTCTATGTTGGCCACTGTGTGTGTGTGTGTGTGTGTGTGTGTGTGTGTGTTTGTTTTGGGGTTTTTGGGGCCGCGCTGTATGGCTTGCGGGATCGTCCCCAACCAGGGATTGAACCCAGGCCATGGCAATGAAAGCCCAGAATCCTAACCACTTGGCCGCCAAGGAACTCTCACCATTGTATTTTTTTTTTAATATATTGTTCCTTTATATTTTTATAATTTATAGCACCTTCTTATTCACCCTTTGGGTTCCATTTGAACTTTAGAACTAATCTTTTTTTAATGATGGTATTATTTTTATTTGGATATCAAATGTTTATATTAACTTATGGAGAACTGACATCTTTATAATGATGTCAATAATATTAATCTTTATATCTGAATTTAGGAGTAGATGACTTTCCATTGGTTCATACTTTCTTTTACATCTCTATAACATTTTAAGTTTTCTTCATTTAAATGTTCTTGCATGGGGAACTCCATGGTGGTCCAGTGGTTGGGACTCACCACTTTCACTGCCAGAGCCCAGGTTTGATCCCTGGCTGGGGAACTAAGATCCTGCAAACTGCACCGCGTGCCAAAAAAAAAAAAAAGTTCTTGCATGTACATTATCCTTGCATAGATTCATGAGTATTTTCTATTTTTTTGTTCCTTTTGTGAATGGGATATTTTCCATATGTATGTTTATGATGTAAATATATATTTGTTAATATATAAAACACAAGAATAGTAGTATTTATAGTGTAAATTACAAATTATGTAACATATACTTTAAAAACTAAACCCAGATTTATTCAGATTTCTCTAGTTTTCCTACTCATGTCCTTGTTCTGTCCCCGGATCACACATTCCATGTGGTTGTCACATTTACTCAGTCTCCGTGGGTCTGCGAGAGCTCCTCAGACTTTTTTCTGTGTCATGACTTTAACTGTCCTGAGGAGTGCTGGTCACGTATTTTGTCGACTGTCCCTCATCTTGGGTTTGTCTGACGTTTCCCCGTGGTTAGCCTGGGGTTCTAGGTTTTCCAGACAGAGACCAGGGAGGTGCCCTTCTGATCACATCATGTCAGGGGTGCACGCTGTCACCGGCTTAACGCCACACGTGAGCCTGCGTCACTTAGCCGAGGCAGTGTTCACAGCGGGCTCCTCCACAAAGCCGCTTCCTCCCCTTTCCACACTCTGTTGGGAAGCAAGTCACGAAGCGCAGCCTACACTGCGTGGGGGCAGGGGGCAGTTACAGAAAATACTTGGAATTCTTCTGTAGGAAAATGTGTTTCTTCTCCTGGATTTATGTATTCACTCAATCATTTATACCAGTTTGGATTCATGGATATTTACTTTATAATTTGGGTTTAATCCAAAAGTGCATTATTTATTTTCTTGCTTAAATTTTTTAAGCTGTGGCCATTGGGAGCTCTTTCAAGTAGGCTCTGTGTCCCTTTGACACCCCCATCCCTCGATTTCTTTCTTCCTTTTTTTTTTTAGCTTGTGGGATCTTAGTTCCCTGACCAGGGATCAAACCCATGCCCTCTGCAGTGGAAGCTCAGAGTCCTGACCACTAGACTGCCAGGGAATTCCATCCTTTGGTTTCTTTTGAGCACTTCCTTCCTCTCTGATATTATGAGATGCTCCAGGCTCATCTTCTACTTGTCTTGCCCAGCCCTGGCACCAGCCATTTCTCCAGGGAGCCTGGAGAACAGAATCAGAAGCCAAGATCTGGGTGCTGGGTGTGCCTGTGGCTTGTAGGGTTGCACTTCCGAGGCCCTCAGAGCAGACAGAACTAGGAAATCCCTGTCTACACACTTAGCTGTGTGCACACACACATATGCACACACACATATGGTGGAGTGTGTGCGTGTTAAGTTGCTTCAGTCATGTCTATTTGTGACCCTATGGACTGTAGCCTGCCTGTCTTCCTCTGTCCATGGGATTCTCCAGGCAAGAAGACTGGAGTGGGTTTCCGTTTCCTTCTCCATAGCCGATGGTTATTTGCATATAAACTGAGATCACTTTCTATGTACAAACTCAGTCCTCCCACTAGCCTTCCTAAATCGTCTTGTTTTCCTCGTTGTATCATCTGATTTCATCCCACAACAACTTTATGAGTTCAAGACCATTACTGAAGCCCTGTGTTGCCTGCTTGTTTCCTGGTGGTTGTAAAACCCCACGGCCTTCAGGGGCTTGACTGAATCAATACATGAGGTCTTTCAGTGGCCACCAAGGACCCAGCATGTATGAGGCATCGAGTGATAAGAGTTTCCCCAGCTCAGGACTTGGGGAGGTGAGTTACGCGGGAACAAGTGACAGATGGTGGGCAGGACAGACCGTGACTGATGGTCTGTGCACTGGCCCAGATGGCTGGCCCAGAGGAGTCCACAGTACACACCCCTGGGAGCTGGGCACATTCATGGTGCTCGACCCCAGGGAGAGGCTAGAATCAGGCAGGTTGGGGAGAAACTGCATGGGCCAAGGTCAGGCAGCCGCTGACATGCAGCCCAAGCTCCCTGGCTTGCTGGTCTTTGGGGAGGCTGGCCCTGGGCTGCCTGCTCCTGTCTGAGCTGAGCTCCGCTCCCACAGGGCCACACGCACCGACTCACCTCCTCCTGAGGTGCTTCTGGGCCCTGATGAAGATGGGCTTCTCAGAGGGTCAGCCTCAGTGGCTCGAGGTCTGGGTTCCAGTCCCTGTTCTGCCACTTTCCTGCTAGATCATTCTGAGCAAATCATTTCATCCCTCTGGGCCTCACAGAGGACAGGCTGGGCACATTACAGGTCCTCTTTTATTTATTTATTTAGGCCACACTGCACAACTTGTGGGATCTTAGTTTCCCATCCAGGGATCGAACCTGGGCCCCCCTGAAGTGGAAGCGTGGAGTCCCAACCACTGGACGGCCAGGGAAGTGCCCACAGCTCCTTGCTAAGTGGGAACGTGCCGCCCCTGTGGAGTCTGCACACCTTTGTGGGGACTCTTCCGTACCCTGCTCAGAGCGTCCGCCACCATTCCAGAACCACACCCTGGGCCCGGCCGTGGCTCCCACGCAGCCACGCAGCCACGCAGCCCTGTGTGTGGTTCCCAAAGAAGCCCCGCCCAGGAAGAGGGTGCTGTAGGAAAGCAAAGGGAAGGTTTCCGAGGAAGCACGTCCAGAGTGGGCTCCCACGTGTAGGCGAGAGGGTGCTCGAGGCAGGTGTGGGTCCCAGCGAGCGCCCTGAGGAAGACCATCCTCATGTCAGCCCCACACCCTGCTGGTGGTCAACAGGGCGGACGGGGCCTAGTTAGTTTATTTACTCCAAGGAAGTGAGGCAGCTCACAAAACCCAGAGGCCTGAAAAAGTCAGAGGGGGAGTCAGGTGAAGGAAGAAACCCACAGTTGGAAAGTAAGATAAAGCCGCTCACTGGGCCCGAAGAGCTGGCACACCACTGAGACGTAGCCACAGCTCTGGCTCCGAGCTCCCTAGTGGCTGGGGAGAGTGAAAGCGACCCAGGCCCCGGATCCAGGTGCCATCGCGTGCTCCCCAGAGTGAACCCCCTTCCCCGCTTCAAGACTCAGCTCCTCGCCCCTTCCCCACGTCCCCCAGGCTGAGGTGAGCAAGCTGTCTGTGCTTTTTCTTTTAAAAATCTGTCTCAGCATCTTGGGAAGCAGTGAAGATTGGGGCTGTTTGTTGCACAGACCGACGAGCAAAGTGCTTGGTCAGTGCAGAAACAGTGCTGTCTGTGCCTGTCATGCAGTTCCCGGGCATCAGGGACGGTCAGAGATGCGGGAGACACCCCCGCCCCCCACCACTGCAGGGGCGGGGCGGGTCAGCAGAGGACCGGGCTGCCTAACCCAGACTTCCCAAGGCCTGACGGAGAAGGAAGGGGCGTCGGGCCGGCTCCAGGAGTGGGGACTTGGGCTCTGGGAACCTAGCGTGGAGGTTGCGGGGTGTGAGGGAAAGCTACAGGTGGAGACTTAAGCGGAAAACTTGGCCTTAGTGGTGAGGGAGGTGGCGTGAACCAATTTCGGCCTTTTTCAGCCTTGCTGGGATAGGGATCTGGGGCTGAGCTGCTGGGACCTGCTGCACACTTTGTCCCACGGCCCCCTCCCTGACACCCTTATTTAGGGCTGGCCCCTGTGGGCCGGAGGGAGGTGGGAGAGCTCCTCACAGGGACCAGCTGCTGACCCGCAACCTTGGACAGCAGCCCCCTCTCCGGCCTCAGTTTTCTCTCAGAGACACCAGGCTGAGGCTTCGAGTCAAGGATCGTGTGGGTGATAGCTTAGTGTAGGACCTGGCACGTAGTAGGCGCTCAAGAAACGGTGTGTGCCTTTGGTGGATGCGGAGCAGAGCCAGCGCAGTGCGGCGACTCGCCCAAGGTCACATAGCCGGGCCCGATCCGACCCGGGCGGCCTGACTCCAGCGGGCCGGGTTTGCGAGGAGCCAGCTTGGGAGAGCGGTGTTTGGAGGAGCGGGCGCGGACGTGGGCGGGAAGGGACTTCTATTTTGGAGCGGGTGACAGGAGCGCGGAACGCAGAGGGGGCTGGGTCCCTCCCTGGGCTCCCCGAGTCCCAGTCACCTTCCCGCGACCCTTCCCGGGAGGGGCGTCCCGGGCGGGTAGCGGGGAGCGGGAGGGGCGGGTAGGCGGTTACCTCATCGCCGCCTCCGGGAGGCTCCGCTTGCTGCTCGCTGCTCGCTCGCGCCGCCGGCTGGGGCGGCGACTCCGGGCGCCGGAGCAAGAGAAGGACGGAGGGACCGAGGCGCCGAGAGGCAGCGCCGCCCCCTGCATCCTGCACCGCCGCGGGACCCGCGAGGCGAGGAGGTCCGACCTCGGTGCTCCGCGCTGTCGCCGGCGCCTCCAGTGGCGCTGCGGGGCGGAGGTCGTGTCTGCGCGCGGCGTGCTCGGTCAGTTCTCTCCTGAGCTTGGCACTCGCCGGAGCTGCTCGTGCGTCCGCCGTCCGCCTGCTCGGCTGTCTGTTTCCCCTCTACCGCCAGCTCCGACCTCCAGCCTGGCCTCCCCGGGCCCCCGGTGCTCCAAGGGGCGATGAGCGCGGCGGGGCTGGGGCGCACGGGGCAGGGCGCGCCGGGCGCTCAGAGCGGCGCCTGCCCATGAGGCTTCCCAGAGCGGGGCGCAGCAGCACGCGCGGGCCATGGGGGGCAGCCTGCGGGTGGCGGTGCTGGGCGCTCCGGGCGTGGGCAAGACGGCCATCATCCGCCAGTTCCTGTTCGGTGACTACCCCGAGCGCCACAGGCCCACGGACGGGCCGCGCCTCTACCGGCCCGCGGTGCTGCTCGACGGCGCCGTCTACGACCTGAGCATCCGCGACGGCGACGGTGCTGGCCCCGGTCAGAGCCCCGGGGGGCAAGAGGTAGTAGGCTAAGGGGTGGGCAGGGGCGTGTGACAGCATGTGGGTGGATGCTCGGTACACACGTGCGTGTCCCCGTGGACGGCCCAGGGGTACCCGACTGTGTTCATGGACTGAACGGTCAATGTGTGTCCTGGCATTTGTGCTTTTCACCTCTTCTGCCGGCATGCAATTGCCCCAACTCAGGCCCAAGACCCGGCGATTTTGCAGAGTGGCTTTTTCTCGCTTGCTTAAATTGCTATTTCTCGGCCTCCGCTGGTGGGTGAGGATTAGTGCACGGGGGAGCATGCCTGCCTGCCTGAGAGTGAGTGTTCTGTGTCTGGAGCCATGAGCAGAGCCGCAGTGGGAGAGGTTGAAGCTAGACACGGGGGTGTCCGTTCTGAGGGCATCATTCTCTGCTCCCTCATTCCTAGTACCTGCAGCCAAGACTTGTTTAATAATTTTGCAAAGTCCAGGGCAGACTTTGAATCCTTGGGAGTTGATGCCTTCAAGAAGTGAAGAGGAAAGAGCAGGCAGGATTAACCAGGGTTTCCTGGTGAGGGTGGCATTTGGGCTGAACCGGGAAGGATGAGTGAAATTGTGATTAGAGGAAGCGGCGGAAGCATTTCCAGGTGGAAAGAGCAGCGTGTGCTTCGGCCGGAAGCCTAAGTGTGTAGAGCTGCTGTTAATCAGTGGTCTCCGCAGGCTCAGGAACACCGGCCCAGGCTTGGAGGCAGGCACTACTCCTGAGGGCGCTGGGGGAGGGGCGGGGCCTGGCCCGAAAGAAGGGAACCATGGGAAAGAGAGGAAGGCGCGAGGAAGGAGACAGGCCTCAGGGGAGAGGAGACCCTGATAGAAGAAGGGTTGGACGCTGACTGGCTTCAGGCACGGTTTTAAAAGGTATACCCCAGCGCCCATAAGGACAGTAAGGCCCAGGGAGCTTGCGGGAGAGGGCCACAGATGAGCAGGAGAAGGGCCAAGGCCTGAGCGTGAACTGTGTGGGTTTCACGTCAAGGCCCGTTGCAGAAGGTCTGGATGCGTGAGAGTAAGAAGAGGGCTTCGGCAAACTCTGGCCTCCCGCCCCCCAGGAGTGGCCGGACTCTAAAGACTGGAGCTTGCAGGACACGGACGCCTTCGTGCTTGTCTACGATATCTGCAGCCCGGACAGCTTCGACTATGTGAAGGCGCTGCGGCAGCGCATTGCGGAGACCAGGTGAGGTGCGCCGCCCGGGTTGTGTATGGGACGGCGGGGAGTGTTTGTGGGTCTGGCTGGGTCTTTTTTCCCCGAGGTGAGTGGGTGGGCTCTTCCGCCGTCCTGGACCAGGTCTCAGGCCTTTTCGGGCCTGGCCTCTGGCCCTAAGCGGTCTTTGGTCCTGGGTCTTTGTGGGTCTGGTGTTTGCTGGAGGTTCTCTGGCCGCAGGAAAGTATGCTCCTTAGTGTGTTTATACCCGCTGGAGGGATTCTTCGGCCATGGGGGTCCCAGGCACTGCGACCTTCATCCTCCTTTGGCCTCCAGGCCAGCTGGCGCGCCTGAAGCGCCCATTCTCGTGGTGGGCAACAAGCGGGACCGGCAGCGGCTGCGATTCGGGCCTCGGCGCGCACTGGCTGCCCTGGTGCGCAGGGGCTGGCGCTGCGGATACCTCGAATGCTCCGCCAAGTACAACTGGCACGTGCTGCGGCTCTTCCGCGAGCTGCTGCGCTGCGCGCTCGTGCGCGCACGCCCTGCGCATCCAGCTCTGCGCCTGCAAGGGGCGCTGCACCCGGCGCGCTGCAGCCTCATGTGATCGAATTGGAAAAACGCCCCTTACGGGGGGGAGGGGCCTTCTGGTTAACCGGAACAACCGGGGGCCCGGATTGGACGAGATTGCCCAACTTATTTCGGATTGGACAGGACAGCCTCCTCCCTGATTGGCTGAGGAACGCTCCCACCCAGTCTCCTGGGCAACAGACTTCTCTTTGAATCTCACTGGGCTCAACCAGGCCCCATTGGACAAATCAGTCCTTTCTGGGACCTCATTGAGTCACGATTCCATTGGATGAAAAGGACTTGACTATGAATCTGATTGGACATGCTCAGGCTGCTCTTGGAGTTTCATTGGACCAACTGTTAAGTCACACCTCCCGGGAGGAAATAAAGGGGAAGCAAGTTGCCCCTGGCATTTCTGGGATGGCAAGATAATCTTGGGTAATTCCCTGATGGTCCAGTGGTTAAGACGCCAAGCTTCCACTGCCGGGGGCATTAGTTCAATCCCTGGTTGGGGAACTAAGATCTCTCGTGCCTCACAAAGTGGCTAAAAAACAAATTTTGTGCTTCCCAGGGGGGCGCTAGTGGTAAGAACTTGTCTGCCCATGCAGGAGACATACACTTAAAGGTCAGAGCTGACAGGCATTGCCCCTCGCAGTTGACTCCAGAATCCCAGCCTGTAATGAGGGTTCTCAAATGGATATGACGGCCCCAAGGCTGAGTCTCCAAGAAGGCTGAGTCTCCAAGACGCAGACACAAGTAGCTGGAAGAAAACTTTACTGTCAGGCTCTGCAGGGCCACGGGACCTCAGGAAGGGTCCTTACTGGGCTGGCCCAGCCTCCTCTAAGGCATTCAATAATATTAGTAATTAAATAGCAATGCTCATCCCCCAAGCGGAATGTACACCAGAAGTCCCATTGTGCCATGTGGTCCCGAGGGGTCTGGTCCCATGAGGTCTGGTCCCCAAGAGGCAGGGGCACTCCCTGATGCAGAGGGGTTAAGGCCACAAAGGAAAAGGAGAGAGGGAACAGGGGACTGGGGGCAGCTGGGCTGGTCCGTCACATCCAGGAATCCGGCTCCGTCCTTGGGCTGACTGAGTGAAGGGCATGCCAGGTCCCGGACCCCGTGGGTCCGGGTTGGCGGCGGGGGCCCCTTGGTGTGGGGATGCGTGAGGGTTTTCGGTCTGGCTGTGTGTCCATCCGGCCTCGTGCCCAGGTCCTCAGGGGCTCTGGGCCGGTCAGAGGACTCCCCGGAGCATCTGGTGGGCCCCCTACACCGGGGCAGGGGCTGCCCTCATCGGAAGAGCTGGACAGGGCTGGGCCTCGGGGCCCAGGCAGCCCATTGGCCATCCTGCCAGAGTCCCCGGGTTGCCCACACTTGCTACCCAGGACGCTGAGGGACAAAGAAGAGGAGCTGGAGGAACAGTAGGCTGAGTCAGGAGCTGGAGGGTCTGGGGCCCGAATTGGGTCAGGGGCTGGTCCACTGGGGGTCCCACCAGTAACAGCCTCAAGGGCTCGGGCGTTGGCCAGGAACTCCTCTTCCAGGCGCCGAAACAGTTGCTGTTCCTGCTTTGGGTCAAGCTGCAAGGGTGTGCGGAAGACACTGGCCGGGACTGTGCTCAACTCTGGACTGGGGCTGGGGCCCCTGGGAGCTGCAGGGCTGTGGGCACGGGGAGTGTGGGGGCTGCTTCTGCCCCGCGGCACCCAGGAGTGCTGTCCATCTCGGTCCCGACGCACCAGCAGCACTGCCTGGTCTTCACGGCTCTGACTCCGGGCCCGCCGGGCAGGGCTGGGGGCGGATAGCTGGCCTCCCCTGCCTCCTGGGGCCCCACGCGGCCGCCCCCGATCCAGCCGGTCCCGGGACTGGCTGCGTGGGGCGGGAGGCCGTCTCGGGGAGGCCGGGGTGCCCGTGGTCACACGCCGGCTGGGACGCTCCCGCCGGGGGCCAGTGCCTGAGTCTTCACTGCGGGCACCAAGGGGGCCGCTCTGGGCCGAGGAGGCTGAGGAATCGCTGTCCCCAGAGTAACGGCGGGAGCGGGGATGGGGGGGCAGCTGGTCCCGGACCCTGGGGCAGGGGAACGAGAGAGAGAGGTGGGGCGAGGCAGAGAGACCCGCAGCACATAAAGGGCGGGGCGGGGAAGGAACGGGCAGACGCACGGCCGCGGGCGAGACACCTGTGGTGGCAGCGGGGGTGCCGAGGGTTTCTGTCCGTCCTGGGGACTTCCAGGGAGAAGTGAGAGATTCTGCCACAGCTTCTGCAGCCAGGGCCACCCCCCGCCACCCCACCCCAAGGCAGCGGAAGAAGCAAGGGCCCAAGCTCCCCCCTGCTCAAGCCTCCAGCTTCCTGGGCAGGCTAGAGGGAAGCTGGGTTGGGTTGGCGGCCGCCCAGCCCCCAGGGCCCGCCCAGCTGTGTTGTTCGTTTGCTTGGGTTGCCATAGAGATGGGAAGCCAGGCCCACCCCCACCCACGGGAACTTTTCCCAGGGTGTGAGTCACTGGAAGAAGCGTCATCCCGGCCAGGGCGGGCGCCCCCCACACCCCCACCCCCTGGACCCGGGTCCCATGTCCTCCCTCCTCTCACCTGAGTGGGGTCTCGGGCCCCTCCTTCCAGCTGCGTAAGCCAATGGGTGTCACCTCTGGGCGGGAGCCCCGGCGCTCCCCACCTGGGGCTGGGCTGCCAGCTCGGGGGCTGGGGCTGGGTGACACTCGCTGCGGGGAGAAGGTGCGCGTCCTGGGCTGGGGCGGGCGGTGGGCCGCGGAGGAGCAGCGGCAGGGGTCGTGCTTGTCCAGGTAGTGCTCCAGCGTGTCCCAGCCGCCTCCCACACGCACCATCACGTGGCTCCTCAGCACCTGTGGGAGCCCGGCGTGCGCAGGTCACGGCGCATGCCACCCACCTCCCAGGCTCTGCCTGCTCGGGGAGCCCCTTGCTCTCACCCGCACAAAGATGAGCAGACTGGAGTCTCCCACGCGGTACTTCCCCTCCGAGACCTTGATCATGGGAAACTGGTCTGGGCAGGTGCAGCGCCCCAAGATCTCCCTCACCTAAGAGGAGAGGCTGGAGGTCAGGGGTCAGGTCCCTCCTCCATGGGCCTGCCGTCAGCAGCTCCAGGGGCAGAAGGAAGTAAATTCTTCTGGAGAGCAGAGGCTCCAATTGTGTTGCCCTGGACTTGAGTGCCGCCTCTGTGCTCGACCTTTCACCAGAGCTCCTTCCCTTCTGACTATCACTGGGGAGGAAGCCAACCAGGACGAGGTGGGGGACTGCTTCCTTGAAGTCCCTGAACCCTTGGGGGAGTCCTCACTCCCCCTCACCCATTTCAGAGACGTGAATGTTGAGACCCACGCCATATGGAGGCGGCAGTGCTACAGATCCGTGGGGCACACACAGACACCACCAGGCCGCCCGCCCGGCCAGCACACGTCTGCCCACATGCTCCCCCAGGCCAGGAGCTGCCAGGCTGGCTATGTGGGCGGCCCCACCCGCCTCCTCACCCACAGCAGAGCTGACAGAATGAGCAGGTGGAGCCTCGGGTGACCCTGGCCCGGGGTGGGGTGGGGTGCAGCCTCTGCCCACAGCCATCCGGCTGCCCGCCTCCAGGACGGGCACATCCCGTCCTAACCTGATAAGAAGGAAACTCTTAGCCAGGCTGTGGGGGTGTCAGGGACACCTAGGTCCCAGTAAGAGGTGGGAGCTGGAGTCACGGCCTGGCACCTCCTATATGCTCAGCATAGAGCTCATCCCACAGCTCTTAACAGGGTACTCTGGGCTGGGCTTCTCAGATAAGTCCCGGGGGAGGAGGAGGGGCCCGCAGAGCCCCTGGGAGCTTCCTTGGGCACTCACGTAGCGCCTGCTGTGCGCCAGCTGCCTTGCCCTGGACCCTGGGCCCCATGCAACCTGGAGCCCAGCGATGGCGTGAATGCCGCGCTCTAGCAGCGGAGAGCACGGAGGCATAGAGGAGGGGCTCACACCCCCGGATGCAGGACACCCGGTGCTCACCTGGGGCGCGGCTGGCACAGAGAGGAAGCGGGGGTCGTCGTGCCATGGGGTAGCGGAGGCCGAGTTTTCTCCCAGGCCACGCTGGGCGCTGTGACCTCACCCAGCACTCAGCCCTCTCTGCGCCTGCCTCTCTTTGGGGCCGGGTATCCACTTGGTGCTCAACATATTCACCCTTTCCCCGGGGCAGGCTGTCCTGCAGCCACGAGGACAGGCCGCGGAAGGTGGCTGGTACCACCCTGCCTGCTGGTGCCTGGGTTGTGCTAGAATAAGCCCGGCCATCGGGCATGCGCACTCGCGGACTCACCAGCTCATCGAGGTTGCGCAGGTCGCTGGGCGTCATGCGCGGCCCACGGGCTGGAGCTCCCGGGGCGGTGGTCTCGGCGGTGTCCTCCCCCGCACTGGGGGCGTTGGGGGCCGGGGGCGCGGCGCACAGCTCCCGCTCAATCTCCTGCTCGAACTGCACGAGACGAGGGGCCAGCAGGCCGAGGCGGGCCCCGCGCCGCGCCACCTCCAGCAGGCAGAGCACCACGCTCTTCTCGTTCTTGCGCAGCACCAAGTCCTCCGTCTCGAACATGAGCACTTCGGGCACACCCAGCTCCGCACGGCACCAGCCGATGAAGGTGGCCACGTTGTCTCGGGCCATGAAGGAGCCCGGCACCACGCTGTGGGCCTGGAAGGCCACCCCGCGGGCCGGCCGGGCAGCAGCCATGGCGCGGGCGGCCTTGGTGACGGCATTGGCATGCTGGCACAGAGTGGTGCCCGTGGCCAGCCCCGTCAGGAAGCCGTCGCCACCGCTGGGCAGACCCAGGCCGTACAAGGCGTTGAGCCACTCGGCCAGGTCCTCCTTCATGGCCTCCACGTAGGCCTCGCTTGAGCGGAACGGCCGCACACTCTTGGCTGCGGAGCCGGCGATGCCCGCCACGGGGTCTGCCATGCCCGGGCCAGCCGAGTCACTGTGGGCAGGGACACGGGTCAGGACGGTTGTGGACCCAGCAAGTTCTCAGCACAGGCTAAGCCGCTGACCACCTGCACCTGCTTGTCGGCTCAGACCAAATGCCTGGATTTTGAGAAACTTCTCGCCTCAGTTTACCCGTCTGTGAAGTGGATACAATAATAGTACCTTCCTCATAGGAACTAATGGGATGATTTTTATAAATGATTTAAGTGTCCGTAAGTGTTGGCTGCTTGGTTCTTTCGGGAAGAAGGATTGTGAAGACTTGGCTGAGTCCTCCTTCCTGCCCAGGCAGGGAGGCCCCCATCGTTAATGCCCCTGTGAGAGGCGAAGCGCTAAGCCCGAGAGAGAGTAACCTGCAGCCCTGGACTCAAGAGTAGGAACCCTGGACCCGACCTCAGAGAGGGGTTCGATCCGCTGCTCAGGCCTGGCGGTGATCCCACTTACTCCGGAAAGGCCCCAGGCCCGCCCTCAAGCCCTTTACCCTAAAGGCTGTGTCATTATAACGACAGGACGGCAGCAGCAGTAACGCAGCGGCAGTGACCGCAGCCGGGGCCGAGCACGCAGCGATATTACCTCCATCTTACAGACGAGGAAACTGAGGCGCAGAGCTCGCTCAAGGGCGCGCAGCAGTGGGTAGCGGAGCTCGGCCCTCCAGCCCCGCGTGGCGGATCCGGCGGCCGGCCTGGGCCAGGCCCCTCCTCCAGGGAGCCTCCCTAGCCCCAGACTGATGCCTGTGAGCCGGGACTCGGAATGGCTGTCTCCAGCCCTGGCCATCCTCTGGGCTTAGGCCCAGAGAGGGTGCGGGGCTGCCCAAGGTCACACAGCCCCGGGAAACAGGCCCGCGGCTGCCGCCGCTGGGTCTGCTTCACTGTGTGCCAGGCAGGGGTTGCCGGGGGGAGGGGGGTCCCCACGCTCACCTGGCTCATCCCGCGGCCTCGGGGAGCATCGCCCCGGCTGGATCGGAGCCGGGGCGGGCCGCCGAAGGGAGGCGCCGCCCGAGCCGCAGCAGATCCCGGTCCCACCGCCGCGTCCTCCGCGCCCGCCGTCTCCGCCCCGCCTCCTTGGAATTCGGATCCGGAGGGGGTGGGCGGGGCTGCGCGCTCTTAAAGGGGACGCGCTGTTCCTGGGCTGGGACGGGGCTGGAGCCTCCAGCCGCGGGCCTGGCCCGGGACCCGCCCCAGCCCTGGGCAGAGGCGGGACCGGGGTCCCCAGGCGACCCTGCCGGGCCGGAGGTCCCATCCCCCAGACCGGGTCCCTTCTCTCTCCTTGGTCTCCTGGGAAGGGGTTTGGGCATTTTTAGTGGCACCCCCTTCGCAGATGGTGGCCTCCCCTGGTGAGCCGCATGGCCTGTTCCCAAGAGGAACTCAGGAAGAGATAGGGGGCCGGGGCTGCGGAGTCACCTCCGGCCGGCGGGAGTGGACCTCCTTAGGTCTGATAAGTGAGGCCATCTGGCCTTGGGTGGCGGCTTCCTACCAGCAGTGCTGGCCTCGGGGATGGGGAGAGGGGCTCTGTTGTACCCCCATTCGGCCACTGGCTCCTCATCAACTACTCTTTGTTAAACCCTGAAGTTAGGGGAACCCGTTTCTCAGCTGAGAACGCTGAGGGGAGGGCAGGGAGGGGACTGGCTGAGGCCCCTGTGTCTGAGGCTTCGGCCCCTGCCCTGCCCTGGACCACCTCTGGCTGCCCGGTGGGGCACAGAATAAAGGCTGGAGGAAGGCAGGCGGCAGCCTGGCTCCTGAGGGTTAAGCCTGGCTGGTTTCTTTTCACACTGCAGAGGAGAGACCTGCCCGGACCAGCGGGAAATCCTGCCCCCTGCTGCGGTTGGGCAGGGACGCCAGGCCTGGCTGGGCAGTTGCCTTGCTGGCCAGGCGGGGCTGCTGGGGGCAGGCACCACCAACAGCAGCCAGTGCTCGGAGCTTTATTTAATAAAACCCCTACTGTGTGCCAGGCCTGCTGTGCACCCTTGACCTGAAGGAATCGATGAGTCAGCTCTCTAGGGGACGCTCTTATGCCCAAACTTGGGCTCAAGTCTAGAGGAGCTGGTGGCACTGGGATTTGACCGATGACTGTTCTGGGAATACCTTCATTCAAGGATGGGGCATCCATCCGTTGAGTACCTACAGTGTGAGACTTCCGGGTGTCAGGCTGCTCACACACCATCTTACCGCGTCCTCCTGAGCTTTCAGAAGGGGGGGCTCTCACCTCAACGCCCAGATGGTGCAGGTCCCACTCTACCTTCTCAGCACCCCTTCCTCCCCACCGCCTAGTGAGGAAGGCCTGTGCCTAGGCGTGATAAAGGCTGACACTTACGTGGCACCTGCTGAGCTGCAAACCGGGAGCAAAAGGCAGAGAACAAAACCACCGAGCCAGCGGTGAGGCTCCCAGTCTGGAGAGGTGGCCCTTGGGCTGCAGTGGGGACAAGGCGCCAGGGAGGAGGGAGCGGAGGGCCGGCAGGGGTGGCGCGGGCTTGTCCTTTTGGATCCGGGAACAGGAAAGGTGAGGGAGGGAGCTGTGTGGGTGTCTGGAATGAGTGTTTTAAAGCAGAGGGAAGGGCTGGGGTAAGGGTCTAGGTGAGCCTGTGCCTGGTGGGTCGGAGAAAGGAGGAGGGAGCCTGCGAGACTGGAGAGGAGGGAGATGCAGGCGGGGCCTGGGGACAGGGACAGCTCTGTAGGGCTTTGCAGGCCACGCTGCTTTTCAGGGACATGGGAGCCACGGAGGGAGCTTGGAGCAGGGGAGGGGTGTGACCTGACTATCCCTGTGGCTGCCGTGGTGGGCAGGGCGGGGGCCCAGGAGGGAACCAGGTGGTGCCCGCTGGGGAGAGGAGTCCAATTTTGAGGCTGTATTGTGAGGGGAAAGCGGATAGAATGTGCTGGTGACTGAGGTATCGGGGTGAGGAGAGTCCCAGGTTTGGGGTGGTCCACTGATACCTGGGAGGACAGGATCACTGCAGACAGGGCCGGGTAAGATTTAGGGTGTGGAAACTAATTCCCAAAGTATCCTGTGAGATATGACACTGTTTGGGATTCTGCTTCTCCGGTCTGAGGAGACTGAGGCCCAGAGAGCCAGGGCTGTGTGTGGTCAGCAGCTGTGCGGGATTTTGACCCCTGCTTGTAGCTACCTCATGACCTGCAGGGCCCTGGACACAGGCCCTGCTGTTGATCACTGGGTGAGGTGGCTAAGCTCCCTGAGTGGTGTTTGCACGGTCTGTAAAATGGGACAGCAGCAGTCACATCACGGAGTTGTGAAAATACCGTCACTCAGCCCGGCGCCATCAGGGTGATCGTCCACTGCGCCGCTGAGGACCAGGGGCCAAGGGGGACGCTGTGGCTGCCATCAGACCCGATGCCAGCATTCTGACTCTAGGACACGTGGCAGGTGTGGTGCCCACAGATATGGCCAGACCCACGGCCCAGGCCACGGAGGGCCTTGGCTTTGACACCCTCCTCCTGGCAGGACCAAGGGAAGCACAGACGCTGCTGGAGGGAGGGGAGGTTTGGGCTGAGGTTGTCCAGAGCCCATCCCTGCAGACCCCACAGGCCACCCTGCGTACAGAATGCTGCACTGCCATGCAGCTCGGGCAGCGGGCACGCGGCTGGATCTCCGGTCTGGGCTGCTGGCCTTGGTTGCAGCCGGTTGGATGATTGCCTCGAGGGCAGACCCCCGGCTCTGCCTTGGCGCTGGGCAGCTGTGGTCCTGGCCAGCTCCACCCCACACCTTCTGGGTTAGACTGCCGTGGGAGCACGGCCTGGGGTGAGTGGGCGTGACCCGCCAGGGGCTCGAGGCTGCCCTGTCCACGTGTGGGTGCAGCCATGACAGCTGCTCCTGCCCTGGCTGCGGGGCAAGACCCCAGTCCCGAGCGGCCACCCTGCCCCGTGGGAGCAGCAGGCCTGGAAGGCCCCCCCCCCACCGCCCCAGCCTCCCTGCGCCTGGCCTGTCAGGAGTGGCCCCAGGGGCCAGTGTCCAGCCGTCCCTGCCTTGGAGGTGAGCCCCCTCCCTGCGAGCCTTTCTTCTCAACGTCATAGTCCTCTCACTGACCTTTCAACCTTCACCTGGACCTGCGGGGCGTGGCCTTGTGGGGCCACGAGGCTGTGCTGGAAACTTCCGTCCTGTGTCTGACGGGGAGCTCCTGAGAGCAGGGAGCGGGGCCGCGCCCGCGGGCTCCAGCCGCCTGTGCGCAACCTTGGGCTCAGGGCTGGCAAAGGGCGTCTGAGGGCAGTGCCACCTGAGACCGAGGTGCGGCAGGTACCCGGGGCAGCTTCAGGCCCAAGACCGGTCACACCTGGCTGGTGGCTGTCCCAGAGGTGGCTGCGGGCTGGGGCGGGGGCCGATGGGCACCGGCTTTTAGGCCCAGGATGCCTGTGTGTGTGTGTGATTGCGGGGGGGTGGCCACAGGCTCTGAGGCGCCCCCGGCCCCTCCAGGGTGTGGACCTTCCTCGCCAGCCCATGGAGCTGGACATGCCGGGGCAGCGCCTGGCACAGTGTGGCAGCCCAGTGGCATCCTGGGCATGTTTGGGCCTCTGGGGTGTGACCCTGTGCCTGCCAGGGCCAAGGGAGCGGTGTCCTTGGCCTCCGCAGGGACATGCTGACTCGCATGGTGGGACTGCAGGGAGGCAGCTCAGGTCCCAGGGGCCTCTCGGGGGGTCATGCAGGCGTGGCAGGAGTCCCCGGGGGGCTCCGAGAACTCAGTGAGGGGGCCGAGGGAAGCCAGGGCTCGGGAGAGGGGGTAGGGGGTGTGGGTCTTGGTGAGGACAGTCTGAGTTGAGGTCTGAGGGAACAGAGTTCATGAGGACAAGGGGGATGCTTCCCCTCTGAGAATTGGGGTGGGAGGCGGGCAGGGTGAGCCCCCCCCCAGGGAGGGGCTGGCACCTGGGGGAAGAGCAGTCAGGACACCTGAACAAGCGGAGACCTGGGCGTCGGGGGCACGTCCAAGTAGGCATGTGGTGGATGCGGAACAGAGGCGGAGAAGGGTGACTGTTTATAAACATTTGGAATTTTATTTAAAAAAAAAAAAATCACAACCATGAACATTGTTACAGTTAGAGGCCCTCTTGGTTCTCCACAATGATACTGAGCATGCTCACAAGGGGTTCCCATTGTTTAGTCTTAAACAACCATCTTTAAAATAAGGAAAAAAAAACTCAGCACACTACCATTTAACTTGTTTTAATGTTTCTTCACAAATGGTGAAAAATACTAAAGTACAGACAAGGAATAATCATAATGTTGTGGCCAACATTATAAATATGGAATTATAAATTTAAAACATTTTCTGGTTTAAAAAATAAATCTGGTAGTCAATGCAGCTCTGCGGGTCTCTGCGTCTAGTAGGGCCGGTCTCTGCGCTCCTGACGGTGCTCGCCTCTGCCCAGCAGAAGGGAAGGAAGGGGTGGTGGGTTACGACGAGGGTGGAGAGGAAGCCCGGTCCCAGCTCAGGGCGCCCTGGAACAGCCACCCGCCTCCCGCCCGGGGTGGTGAGACCCGTTCTGGGGGGAGGGGCTGCTGCCTGCCGCGCAGGCCCCCAGCTAGGTCACCCCCACGTACTTATCCATCTTTCCAGGTCCTCCTCGCCCGCCTCGCCGTCCTCCCATCTGTTCCATCAGTGGTCCAGGGGGGCCCCCAGGGCCACCTCGTCTTCCACCACC